GCGAGTTCTATCAACACCAGGGGAAATGTGGTTGAGCAGAGAGGTCAGCTTTGCAGGACAGCTTCCGTAGTAAACATGATGTGGCAGAATTCCTACGTTGAGGTAAAAAAAGATGGGAGAACATCTGCTAGCAGGACCCTCTTAAATGTAGATTTATATTGCGTTTGTGGCTGTTGTTTCAAAGTGTGGCAAAGCAATACTTCTGGAAACAACTGCGATAATGCCGGTGCTACTGTATGCATCTGAGCCTTGACCAGTTCGTACATAAGACATCAAAAGGTTGGCAGTGCTTGATCACCTGGTCTCATGCAGTATTGTACGCATCTTGTGGGAACACAGGGTGCGCAATCCTGAGGTCCGCCAGTTGTTTTTTGTTAGCAAATCTCCGGTGCCTCACTTCAGTTTCTATTGAAGTTGAATCGCTAAAGTTGGTTAGGGCATATACTTCGTACACCAGTTAACTGCCTTCCTCGGTGAGCAATATATACTGTAACTGCATCAAATTGGGCGAAACCACGACGTGTTCAATAGCTGACGTGTCATAGGGGCACGAAGAAATTGACCGAAAGACTTAGTCAAGCAGGTACGTCTTCGTAGTTGAGGGTCTTGTACTAATCCAAATTAATGATTACAGACTCTATCGGACGTGGCGCATTGTCGGAGTCGGTGCTGCCCCTAGATTCGTTTTCTGGAGTGTAGCTGTTCATAATTCAATGCACCTTGTTCTTCTTTCCATTCTGACAATACCATATTTAAGTCTAACGGCAGTTATTTATAATTCTTCATTTTTGCCACTCTGGCGACGCGATTCGTGGCAACTGCATCAACAGCACCTTCCTGCCCGGATTATAATTTAACAGATGCACTAAACTGAACTGAAACAACCGGGTTATTTTTAAATATCGCTGGTTATTTAGGAAAGAGAAATTCCAGTTAGAACTTGGCTCAGTTAACGGGAAATCAAAATAATACCAAGTCGTTATTATTCCTAATGTGGAAGCTTTAGTTGAAAGCACTGCTTTTTTGTTACAGTGATTCTTTGCAATCTAGTTTACAGTCTATCGCATGCCCACCGTAACCGTTTTTTAACATGACTTTAATACAAATACGGGCACTAAGAAAACGTATTTCTCACGTGTACGTCAGTCTGCCTAGTTTAATGGGAACACAGCTGCGATGAAATAGCAGCAGTTGTGCACCACGTGTACGTTCGTTCGCCAACGCAATGTCCAAATTTGTACCACAGTAGACCCTGTACGTAACGTTAACTTCTGTGCTACGACTAAACATCGATCAGCACAGAGCCCACAGGCATTCATTTTTCCGCGAAACATTCTCTCCTCAAACACTGACAAGAATGTATGGATCGTTCAACTATCCCTACTCTGTGCCGGATCGCGTGAACCCCCTTGCATGTTGGGTTTCACAGACGCCGCACTTGTGTGCGCAATGCATCTTGTGAGATAAGAGTGGATCTCCGGACGGCCATTAGAATCCCTGAAGGTTTTCTCAGGGAGCGCAATATGCGGAAGCTTGCGGTGCGTCCATTACAATCGGTAAACACATCCCGGCCACACGATAGTGCATGGGGCATCTGTTACCGATGGGACGAAACTAAATGGGGTCAAATACAGTCACTGAGAGAATGAAGGTGAACCACTCAAACGATATTTCTCAGTGCGCCTATCGCATTTCAAGGTCTGTTTTGGATGCATTAGCCTGTGTTGTACACTACGTGCTTACATCACTAGAAAGAAAAAACAAGCCCACGTGGATCTACTTCCTAGATTACAACGATTCTTGCGGTTGTGTAAACGGCTAGCAGATGTTACACGATCTAATAGTATCCAGAGTTCAACCTTCATCAGTATGTTTTTTTACAGACTACCTTGCTAATCTTATGCCGTCTACCAGGATTGGGGGAAAAGCTCTTCCTCAGTACCACAAATTCAATTGTTCTTCAGGGAGCTATTTTCTCCCCACTTCTATTTTCCAACGACCAGAACTCCATTCCCACCCTAGAGGAAGCGGGTCGTGACCTTGAGCGAACGTGCTTGCAAATCGCTCACTTGTGCCCTCGTGGCTTTTTCACTGTGGCTCAACGGCATTTTGTTACAAATCTTTTGATCTATACTCATTCGTTGTGCTTTTAAAAGCTTCACCCTGGGATACTTTTTCTCGAGTATACTCCAGTACATCCTACATTTACCCTGAATTCTAAATTCCGGGCAGTGTTTCGCAGATATCCAAGAGCCAAAACTTGCCTAACTCCAACCATCGGAGACATTGCTTGGTCCCATTCGATAGACCATTTCAACGGCTTTCGGACGAATTGGCACTCCTTCAAATCCAACCTTGCTTGGTGCAGCTTCAGGTCTCCCGGCAAATTCGTCCGGCGCGATCCATAGACGTCACCACGAAAATTCTCAATCACACCTTTGTGTAATCTGCTTCACGTACAAGCTGACACATTTGACTGGCTCGCCAACGAGGACAGTCTGCAATCACACAATTGTAACGTGAACACGGTGACCTTACCGACAACGTCAGCAACAGAACAACGTTTTACCATAGAGGGCGAGTCGTTCAAATGGTTCGTAACAGTCCCTC